AAATGATCCTTTGTAACCAAGATACGACCGGTCCTCACTGCAAATATTACAACCGGTCATTTCCGCAAAGCGGTACCCTCGGGCTTTATTTCGAAGTTATACAGCCGGTACCCCAGCAGGAACATACAGCCGCATGTACTACCAAACAGTTCAGACGGCATACAAAATCTTGGTCCTGCCATAACCAGCTTTTATACAAAGGCACCTCAAACGGTTATGCCACTGAACCTAGCAAGGTCTAAACCTTAGCATTTACCACATCACTGACCTACAGCCGGCCAAATAACCGGCTGCATGCAAACATGGCAAAAAGGGGTGCTTTACGAGCACACCCCAATTAGTTAGTAATACGATCAGTTCCCGTCAAACAATTAAGCTCCGTTTGTCTGTCTAAACCGGGTGCGTGTATGGACGTCTGCCTGTTAACCTGTTTGAAGTTAACAACCAGCCATCCAGGGGCAAACACAATAACCCCACCCGGTATATATGGTATCCAGGCGTCATTATACTTGGCAAAAATTTGCTAAAAAATAGAATGCGAAAAAATAGAGAAACACTGAAAATCATATCAAGGCAAAGCCGACACAGTCGGCGAAATATATTACTAATACTCAAAAATTAAAATTGTTATATTGTTAACCGGATCCCCATCCGGTGAAAATACAAAATAATACACGGCACGCAGGCCGGGAGGTAGTTGCTACTTTATCTGAACTATAACGCGATTAGCCGGAGTTTGGGTAGCAGGCGCCTGAGTTTGCTCCGGTTGAGTCTGGGTGGCAGTGGCTACGGATACGGGAACATCAACATTTTCCTTGGTCTCCTCCTCCTCTTCCTCGGCCGCCTCAGCCCGCATTCTCTCGATCTCCTTCCTGGCCCATTCCTCACAAGGCTCGTCCCGGCTGACCCTCCTCTTGCGCTAGAATGGCAATATCTGCATATTTATAGGCGAGTTCCCAGGCGCTGTAGTCCGCATCTGGACGTATAAGGGAGAACATCATCTTCATGCGGTTCTCACAGTCTTGCTCATTCTCCTCAATGAGTCAACACTGTTCCACCTGAAAGGTTGCCTCGAAGTTTTTCTAAGAAGTGGCAACCTCCTTCTTCAGACGGTCATTCTCCTTCTTCAGGGAGGATTTCTCCGTTTGGGCCTTCTTCAAGGTCTTGAGAGAATCCTCGTGGCTCTTCAGCTCTGTCGCAGCATTGTCCAGCGCCACTTGAAGGTTGTCATCTTTGAGTTTCGACTCGTTGAGGGCCTTTTGAAGGGTCTTTATCTGGTCCGCCTGCTTCATGATTATAGATTTAGTTTCTAGGTCATGCATACTCATTGAATACTGAGCTACATTATGGGCGTCATTTGCGTCGTGGTTGGCTGTTCTTATCTCCTCTTGCTTGCGTGCATAGGCTCTCTTCAGCCCCTCTACGCGCAGCAATGACTGCAAAGACACAGCCGATGTTAGAAAATACCGGATGAGTATGAGATTAGTGTAAAGAAGAGACGTATGTATAAGAATACCTCAGCCAGGCTGACCATCACACGGTCAGCATTGAAGGTGTTGATCCCAGGGATCACATCCTTCTCGTCCTTAGGGACGGCTTTCAGCATGGCCCGGGCGTGTTGTGTCACATCCGGCCAGCGAGGAGATTTATCTGCACTAGAAACAGACGGTGAGAAAGGAGCAAACGCCCCTCTAATAGAGTGTTGGCTGGATGACGATTCCTCCGGCTGGAGTTGGGAGTAAGACTTGACCCGCATGGGCAGGCCAAGTAGAGTGAGATTGAAGGGGTCATCAGTACCATGGGTCTCCTGGGTGCCGCGTGGGCCTTTACCGACAGAGGTACCGCCTGTAGTACGCTGGGAAGGAGGGACATCCGTACTTATATGGGAAAGGTCAAATCCAATCCCGGTGTTCTTCACAGATTTGCCGCCGACAGTTAGTCGGTCGGCGTGTGAGGTCTTCTGGACCTTAAGGGCAGGCTCCTCCCCAACCGGCTTTGGCGGTGTTGTTTGGAAAGAGAGCGAGGAACCTTGCTCCCATCCTGAAACGAGGCGAAAAGAGGTCAAACGGATAGATTTGAAACAACTGGGAATAGAAGAGAAAGTAAGCAATGCGCAATAAGGCCAGGCGGACTTACTTTTTTAGCCGCCTGGGCAGCTCTCTTCTTGGCGTTCTCCTTGCGGATATCCGAGGTCTTCTTGGCAGGCCTTTTGTATGTGGGCAACATACCTTTGGCTTCAGCTGCAAAATAACAAAAGACGCGTGGTTAGAAAAGGTTCAAAAACACATCTGAGCAGAGCAAAATTATACAACCGGCATAAGTTGGCCGGCTGATGCACTCAACCTACATTTATCTTTGAACATGGTGCTTAAGCCGCAGGCGGACAAGAACGCCTCGTCCCTTAAGAACTCATGTTTAGGTACCCAATTCTTTGGTGATAACTTCTTCGGTTGAGATGGTGGCAGTGGTAAGCTCGAAGAATCCGGACTCTATGATAGCTTTGTAATACCCATCCGATATCGGGGGAATTTTACATTTTTGCCCAAGTAGCTCAGGCTTCCGGTTGTACCTCCGGAGCTCTCGATTTTCTTCGTTGGTTGGAGCCTTGACCAAGTAAAAGCGGTTTTTCCAATCTGACCACTTTGACGGCTTGTCAAGTGTCATTATATATTGGGGATAGGTGGTTAACGTGTACCAGGCCCTCCAACCGCCTGGACTCCGGCTCAGATAATGCATATGGGCGAAAGCTTCCCAGCCGGGGTTCAGAATCTGCATTTCGCATGCGGCAATATACCCCAGAATATTTACCCAAGAATTGGGGGTAAGTTGCCAGACGCCTAGGCTATAACCCCCGAGTATGGCTTTTATTGTGTCATGAATGGGGAAGCGAAGCCCCGCTAGAAAGGCCGCCTCGTAGCAGCAAAAGAAGTCGTTTGCATTGCGCTGGTTGTCTTCCCAGGCAATGGTCCCCATCTCAGGCGGGACGATCAATTTGTACCCCTCTCCTAAGGGCCGCTTGAGTACGAAATCGGCCAAGTTTCTCTGCATACTAGCCCTATCTTTCGCAGAGACGGAGATCATGTGAAGGTCGCCTTTGCTGTTCCATGTAGGCCTCTCATTCTCCTCACTATCCACAGACGTCGTGAGATAGCTGTTGCTGCTGCTCTTGCCCCCATCAGAGCCGGAACCGGAGGCGGGATTCTCGTTTCTCACTGAGGTTTCTTGATCCTTAGCTCCAGAAGCAGAGGCGGCTTCCTCACCGTCTCTGTTGTAAGACCCTAGAATTCCATCGCTAGGGGTGCTATGGGTGCCTTTAGGAGATCCCCTTGTCATCTCATTTGGGATCCTCTCCTCAGGAGGCAACTCTTCTGAGCCTCCGCCTCTGTAATTGGGATCCACATCCGTCTTCTTAGTTCTCGCCATTGTGTCCTGCACAGACACGGAGACGGTCGGATTGGGAGATGAACAAGAAAGGTTCCAATGCCCAGAGGCGGCATCCCTAGTCCTGGACTCAGCCGTACTGAGGGACCGGTTGGTCTCAAAGCTATGTTCCGGGTGTGGGTATAGAGGGTCCATCTACTTATGAAACTAATAAAGAAAAAAGCAAGAAAGAAGAACAAACGTAAATACATGGAAGAGCTAGAGTGAACAAAGGCGGTACCTAAGTTAATTGGGAAGAGGAGAAAACCGCTTGACCAAGTTGGAAAAACTTCAAATGGCTTGCAAAGACTCAGGCGTTCTCGTAGCCGGATGTGTTCTCTGAGTAGCAGCTGAATTTGTGATGTTGTTCACAACACACGCAGACGACAGAAAATTCTTTGAAAAGAGGCGGGAAATACCGGATGTGCACTCGGAAGAATTCAGGAGAAGTTTGCTCTCAATGCCGGCTGCTCTCAAAATCTTTGAAAATTTTTCAAGGTTGTAAATGTGAACATGAGAGAGGGGTTTTGCTATTTATAGGCAATCCTCAGAAGGTGAACCCTCGCGCCTTTTCACTTTCTGCCCTTTGCTCTTCCAAAATTCGAATTCAAAAAAAAAAAACCGTCTCAGGTGCCACGTGGCACCGCCACATCAGCACCTGAGAGGGGCAAATGTTTAGGGTAAAAATTACCCTAGACATGTGGCAGTCAGCCATAGGTCAAAAGGGCGCCAATCCCCTGTTGACACGTGTCCTTTGAACCCTAGTTGGGGAACTAGTCTCCCCACTATAAATAGTGGGTCAGACCTCATTTATTGGGCATTCAAAAATAGCCATAAATACATACACCAATCCCGAGCAATATTAATTGCAGAATCCTCCTGTATTGGCGAGGAGTAATTACTATTTCCGCACTTTTACCTCTTGTACGTTACTGACTTGATCGTCAGAGGCGAAGCTCCCACCAACCGGAGTTTTCGTGGTTTTGCAGGTACAGGCGTCGTTGGCACATACTAGGAATTGTAACTCTCCCGCAGGACACATCAAAAACCCCCGAAATAGAAATTTATTAAGGATTTGACGAGGAAATACATGTTTCTCACGGTGAGAAACATGTTTCTCAAGGGGAAACTTTTGTAAATAAATAGTTTTGGGATCCGTGAAAAATAATAAAAAATTGCTCCAGCTACACCTGACATCTAACCTTGGGTTGAAAAACTTAACCCAGCTAGTATTAAAGTGGTAATGACGTTAATGGCTTACAAACTATGCAATGTAAAGTATGAGTTTGTTAACGAGAGACGAAGGGCAATTGTGCATGTTGAGCTAGGAGAGACGAAGGCCGATTCGCCGGATGATGATAACGAGCTGTAGATTTGTTGGGATTTGTTAGGATATTATTTGATTTTTATGCTATATTTATCTTATATTAGTTACGTTAATTATAGGATATGATATTGGTAAATATAGGATATGATATATATTGTGGGTGCTTATGAATATTCTAGAGATTCTATCTCAGGAGGTACGCTATATATATGATGAATGAATGCATTGAGGGGCAAGCTTCAAGCTCTTACCTAATTATTTACATGGTGTCAAACGCTTAGGTGAACCTATAATTATGGCTGGTGATGACCCACCACCACCGCCCTCTAAAATAGGCCCAACCTCACCTTTCTACCTTGGAACTCAAGATCGTCCCGGGGATTTTATTACCCCAACTTGCATAAAGGGAGAAGATTACAATGAATGGGCAGATGATATTCAACTCGCATTGGAGGCTCGCCGAAAGTTCGGTTTTCTTGATGGTTCTATTAACTCCCTTATTCCTCCTTGCACTCAATCGGATTGGAATACAATCCAGGCTATGCTCATATCGTGGATTATGAATACAATTGATCCCGAAATTAAGTGCACCTTGTCCAAATACAGAGATGTGAAGCGGCTTTGGGACACTCTTAAGACTCGATTTGCCTTGGTTAATGGCCCTCGCATTCAACAAATCAAATCTTCAATTGCCAAATGTGAGCAAACGAAGGATATGTCGATTGCGACTTACTTTGGGAAACTGTCCACTCTGTGGGAAGAGCTCAATCATCATGAACCTTTGATTACTTGTACTTGTTGTTCGGCTTGTACAGCGGGTCAACAACATGAAAAACGCAAGGAGGCTTCTCGACTTCATCAATTTTTGATGGGTCTTTATTCAGATTACTATGCTCCGCTTCGAACAAATATTTAGTCTCAAGATCCCTTGCCAACCCTTGATCGTGCCTTTCAATTGGTTGTGCAAGATGAGCATGTTCGTCAAGCTAAATTAGTCCTAGAAGAGCATCCACCAAATGCGGTGGGTTTTGCACTCCGTACTGTTGTCGGGAGTAGAAAATCAACTGACTCGGATGAAAGACCTTCGAAGGAAGACAAATCTCACTTGCATTGTATGTATTGCAAGAAAAAAAGCATCTTGAAAAAGCATATTTTGAGATAATTGGCTACCCGGATTGGTGGCCGAATAAATCAAAAGCAAACACAGGAGATGCTGGCAAGACATCTCATGCAGGTGGCCATGGAAGAGGATCCGCACGAGCCAATGCTACTGTGGCTAGTGCGACTCGTGGAGAAAACACTACTGCTAGTGCTACGGGAGGTTCCTCTAAGGAATTCTCGGCTGATCAATGGAAAGCTCTTACGGGATTCATCGATAACACCAAAATTTCTGATGAATGTTTGACGGGTGAGTTTGATAACAGAATGTGGATTGTTGACACCGGGGCACCTAGACATGTCACTTGTCATGCTTCGTGGCTCTTTGATACTCATCAAGTTCATTGTCCTGTTGGCCTTCCTAACGGAAAATCGGTGATGGCAACCATGGAGGGATCGGTTAAATTATCATAAAAAATAACTCTAAAAAATGTTCTTTTAGTTCTCGAATTAAGTTGCAATTTAATTTCGGTAACGCAATTAATTGATGATCTACATTGTACCGTCCGACTTATTGACTCTATGTGTGCTATACAGGACCGTTCGAGGGTGCTGATTGGAACGAGTGTTAGGCGAGATGGACTATACTACTTTGACGGAGAGGCTTCAGTGCAACATGTTTCAACACACGGATCTTCTTTGGCTTTGGAATTATGGCACAAAAGAATGGGTCATCCGTCGGAAAGAGTAGTCAAACTTTTACCTCCTCTTAGTAATTGTAATGGTAGTTTAAATAAAGCTTGCGAAGTTTGTTTTCGTGCTAAACACCCTAGAGACAAATTTCTTTTAAGTAAGAATAAATCATCACGTATTTTTGAGAAGATACATTGTGATTTGTGGGGATCATATAAGCATCCCTCTTCATGTGGTGCTAGATATTTTCTTACTATTTTGGACGATTTTTCTCGTGCCGTTTGGATTTATTTGCTTGTTGATAAAACTGAGGTGTTTCGTATGTTTATGTCATTTGTTGCATTGGTGGATAGACAATTTTCTCAAACAATTAAAGTATTTCAGAGTGATAATAGAATTAAGTTTAATTGTTTGCATGATTTTTTTAATGCATCGGGGATTTTGTTTCAAAATTCTTGTGTGGGAACTCCACAACAAAATGGGAGAGTTGAGCGAAAACAAAAACATTTTTTGAATGTTGGGAGAGCATTGCAATTTCAAGCTAATTTACCAATTTTTTTGGGGGGAGAGTGTTCTTGCGGCTGTTCATTTAATTAATCGTACTCCCTCTCCCTTGTTGCAAAATAAAACTTCTTATGAAATTTTGATTTTCAATTCTCCCTCCTATAACACCATTCGCACATTCGGTTGTCTTTCTTTTGCTCATAATCAAAAGGCGAAGGGGGATAAATTTGGTAGTAGAATTAGAAAATGCATATTTGACGGGTATCCTTATGGGAAAAAGGGGTGTGGGTTATTTGATCTTGATACGAAAGAGTTCTTTGTGTCTTGTGATGTTAAGTTCTTTGAGGATATGTTCCCTTTTGAGGATCCGGATTCTTCAAACATTGTCCCGGCTAGCATTGTTCCTATTAATGATGCTGTAGACGCAGATTTTGAGGAGTATGTTGATGAAATATTGATTCACACCATGATATTAATGATGAGGTAAATGATGATGTTGGTGCGGAGGAGGGCTTGGAAGGTACTGATGCCCAGCCCACCGCAACCATGCGTGAGCAGCCCATGCAGCAGCATCAAGCTGCAGGCACCCACTGATGTGGATTTAAACCCCTTAACTTAATAAAGAATCTAAAATCACACAAGTAACACAAGCCCTTCGAATTTCCTAAGAAAATCGAACAACTTAAGAATAACGAACCGGATATGACTTTGAAAACGACCACTCCTGGAACGAATTCAACGCCTCTCAAATTACCTAGACCACTCCTGGAACTAAGTACTTTGATGAACAAAACTTAGACTACTCCTAGAACTAAGAATTGAACGTTCTAATTATCAAAACAACTCCTTGAATTGAAAACTAGCAAAAGAATTTGTAAGCAATTAAGCAAAACAAACAATAAACTTGTATTGAATTTTCTGGTTTTGGTTGTGTATACAAAGCCACGAAAAATCCCTTATTTATAGACTAAACTAACTATTCCTAAGTCTATTCGAACTAGGAAAAAAACCCTAGCCTTGATCCCCAAGTATCCTAGATAGAATAGGAAAACCAATTCTAATGGAACTAGGAAACTAGTAATAAGACTAGTTCTAATTAAACTAAAACTTCTTAAAACAATTCCTAATTGACTTAGAAATTATTTTAAACTAAAATAACAGAAATTAAGAAGATTCCTAATTGCTTAAACCAAGAAAAACCCTTTCAAGTGAAAGGTAAAAACTTGCAAGCAAAAACTCTAGAAAAAACTAAGTTAGGAAAATCTTTCTTTTCGTACTGCCGCCGAACCACCACCTCACGCGCCGCCATCATCGACACGCGCCCCACCGCCGTGTAGCTGGACTCAGGCCGGAGCTAGGGAGCCGGCGCGTGGCACCCAGATCGGCGCGTCGCCGCCGCTGCCGTCGTCGGAACCCAACTGGACCTTGACTTCTTCTTCAATGGCTGCGCATGTTAACCATTCTTGATTCTTTACTCCAAGCTCAAACCCTATTGGCCTTAAAACCAATATGATTGGCTCTTCAAAAGAATTTCCCTCTTGATCCACATCACCCACGGACAGGCAGATCAATCCACAGGCAGCCTGCGGCTGGTGCCTGCTGATCGAAGGGGGGCGGGAAGCCCACTGAAGTACAGCGGCAACAAGCAGATGCAACACAGCAGCCTCCTATGACACAGCAGAGCAAAGAGCAGCAACCTCAGGAAGATTTAGGCCGAGGTGTGAGACAGAAAATTCCCTCTGTCAAATTACGAGATTATGTTACGCATACAATTATCACAAATAGTCCATCTCCATCTTCTAACACTCCGTCGCCATAGCAATAGTAATCCTCAGGTACTCCTTATCCTAGCACATTACATTAATTGTGAAATTTTTTCTACAAATTACCGAAAATTTCTCGCAGCTATTACTTCCGGCCATGAACCATGGTCCTTTAAGGAGGCCATGAAACATGTAGGATGGAGGGAGTCAATGAAAAATAAAATACAGGCTCTCGAGAATAATGGTGCTTGGACCATGGAAACTCTTCCCTCGGGAAACGTGCCCTTGGCAGTCAATGGGTGTATTAGATAAAATATAATTCCGATGGAAGTATTGAGAGACTTAAATCCAGATTGGCCATCTTCGGCAATCATCAAAAAGAAGGCATTAACTACACCGAAACCTTTGCTCTAGTAGCCAAGATGGTCACAGTTCGAGCCTTTCTTGCTATAGCGGCTTCAAAAAATTGGGAACTCCATCAAATGGATGTTCACAATGCTTTTTTACACGGTGATCTTGTTGAGGAAGTATACATGAAACTAGGTTTTGAATATTCATATCCTAGCAAGGTACGTCGACTTCGAAAGTCTCTCTACGGCCTAAAACAGGCACCACGCTGCTGGTTTGCTAAACTTGTGTCTGCTTTGTAGAACTATGAATTTTTGCAATCCGTACTTAGATTATTCCTTTTTAATTGCACCAAAGGAAAAATTCAAATTAATGTTCTTGTGTATGTTGATGATCTAATTATCTCAGTGATTGTTTTCACATGAAGGATCTGAGTTCCCTAAAATATTTTTTGGGAATCGAGGTGGCTAGGAGTTCATCAGGCTTATCTCTGTCAACGGAAATATACACTAGACATTATTTCTGAAACCGGGATTGTTAGGCGCTAAACCAGCAATTTTTCCTATTGAACAAAACCACAAGCTTGGCTTGGCAAATGGAAAACTTCTTTTTGATCCAGAGGCCTATAGAAGACTAGTGGGCAGACTTACTTATCTGGCAGTCACAGGACCATATCTTGCTTATTCGGTTCATATTTTGTCACAATTCATGCACGAGTCGAGGGTGGAGCATTGGGAGGCGACCTTGAGAGTAGTGCGCTATTTGAAAGGTACACCCGGTCAAGGCATTTTGTTACAAGCAGACAGTGAGTTAACATTGCAGGGTTGGTGTGACTCGGATTGGGCCACGTGTCCTATTACACGTAGATCATTGATAGGATGGCTTGTATTTCTAGGTCATTTGCCTATCTCATGGAAGACTAAGAAATAAAATACTGTTTCCCGCTCTTCCACAGAGGCAGAGTACCGCTCTATATCACATGTCCATCATCCAAAGGCGATCAAGCTCTTTTTTGCAGTCAATCGGCTCTTCATATTGCTAAAAATCCTATTTTCCATGAACGAACAAAACATATTCAAGTTGATTGTCATTTTATTCATGACGCGATCTCATATGACTTGATCGATATTTCATATGTTCATACCAACACTCAGTCAGCGGATGTTTTTACCAAAGCTCTTAGAAGATCTCAATTTGACTACTTGATACACAAGTTGGGTTGTCTACACTCCGACCGCTCCAACTTGAGGGGGGTGTTGGGATTTGTTAGGATATTATTTGATTGTTATGCTATATTTATCTTATATTAGTCGCCTTAATTATAGGATATGATATGTATTGTGGTGATGAATATCCTAGAGATTCTATCTCAAGAGGGAAATATGTACGCCATATATATGATGAATGAATACATTAAGGGGAAAGCTTCAAGCCCTTACCTAAATATTTACAAGATCTTATAGGGCTTGAATTGTGGTTACCAAACTATCTAATTAATATGCAAAAATATTTAATCTATCCAAATTGATCTCATCTTCAATGGAGATGAAGGGCATGCTTAGCTTCAATGGAGATGAAGGGCATGCTTAGCTTCAATGGAGAAATTAATAGAGGAGGGAAAACACAATTACCCACTAGGGTTAACTATACCCTTAATTTTTCCTCGTGTTATTAGGGTTTTCGTTTAATTCCAGCGGCACCGGTGGCGTTGGTAATGTTGAAGCAGCTTGCAGATGGGTTGGAGGAAGAGGATGAAGGTTGGTTGGAGGAAGGAGGAAGCAGCTTCTGTTTACTTGTTGAGTTAACACCAAATAACTAGAGTTAAGTCAAGCATCCCACAAATTACATATATACCCTTCAGTAACCAATGCAAGTTACCTTTTTGACCCTTGAGAAACAACTTATGTTTCTCACTGTAAGAAAACGGGCATCGCTCAGATTTGACAGCTTGCTTTTTTTTATATAGAAAATTCAAGTTTCTCAACATGAGAAACATATTATGTATCTCAAAGGGGTAAATTTGTCATTTCAGCCAATAAATTGGGTTAAAATTGTCTAATAAATGGAGAAGCTATATTAGCAATGCAGAAGAACTTTAATGAAGAAGCATGTATTTCAATGGTGAAATTGAACACGGCAATCGGCTTCAATGGAGGAGGATAACATTCATACTCTTTAGGGTTAACCAAGCCATAAATTTCTCCGTTATTTATTAGGGTTTTCGTTTAATTTGGCGGCTTCGTCGCCAAAATTACGATGGTGAAAGTGTTGGTTTAGTGGTTCACGAGAGGAAAGCCTGAGGACGAAGATGGAGATGGAGGTTTGTGGGCCATGGTTGGGATTGAGGATTGAGGAAGAAGATGGAGGTGGAGGTGAAGGTTTGTGGGTCGTGGTCTGGGATTGAGGAAGAAGATGGAGGTAGGTTGGATGAGAAGATGATGAAAGAAGATGGAAAAAAGGTACAACAATAAATAATAAAATATTAACAAAGTTCAGTTTACGTACACTTATGCCATTTTGAGATACATAACATGTTTCTCATATTGAGAAATCGGGGCTGCCTCTTTTTTTTGGCACCAGATATTCGAGAAAATACAAGTTTATCTTCATGATAAACAAAAAAGTTTATCTAGTGGTATTTTTGTAAATAAATCAACAACTTTTCATTAAATGTAGGCCCACTGATGTTGATTTATTTACGAAAATGGCATGTTTACTAGAATTTATGTTGATTTATTTATAGAAATACCACTATATAAAAAAAATTTTGTTTATCACAAAGATAAACTAGGGCTCCCTCTATTCCAGCTGCAAATATTTTGACATGATTTATTTCCTAATTATTTGATTTAAAAAAAAAATCTTGATTTATTTATCAAGATTGAGCAGGTTCATATCCATTTTATATAGGATGAAGTACATGCGATATCACGTAATATTTGATGATCAAAATAATAGGTTTCAAATAAAGAACTTCCATTAGATAATTTCATGCTCAGCTCTCTTGATTCGAGAAAAGATTTACATTTCTATGACTTCACAAACTAAGCACACATTTTCCATTGGTAAAAAATGCGCAAAAAATATAGATTCCAATTATCCGCCGCCAATTGGGTGCTCGACTACAGAAAAGTGATACATAATCTCAACTTGTATGCGCGGCCGACCGGGCGAGCATCTACTTGACTGGGCAAACGAACGACAAAAATCTACTTTACACTCGCGCCCGATTGAGCAAACAAATGTATCAAAAAGCACTTATACTCGCTCCCGATCGGGCTAGAATGCAACGGTCAACTACCTTTCCTCTCTATACTATACTCCAACATCAGTCTACTCAATATATAATCTCAGCTATCCTTTTCTTTTTCAGGTCTATTAGCGCCTTCAAATTGATCCTGGAATTTGTCTTCTACAAACTCGTTATTGATAAGAGCTTTTTCCGGTTTAAAACTATCCAAGTATGTAATGAAGTCCATCCAACCACTTCTCTGTTGGGATAATTTAGTTACACCATAAATCTGCTTCTTCTATACACATGCTTGTTCAAAAAAACTCTCCATTGCTGGTTAAGATGATACCAGGGAAAAAAATAAAATAAAATTAAATTAAAATTAAAAAACCAGATTAATCTGAGAATGGCACTTCCTGTATGTTATAGGAATGCTACTCAGGCTTTTTGCTGTTCCATCTAGTGCCCATCTCATATTAGTGTATTTTTCCTATTTTTTATAGAGTAATGAATCTCAAGAGTAGCAAATATTCAATTATACCAAGTGTAATTGGTGTAACAAATTTGCCAAAATTGTGAGATATAAAAGAATCGATAGACGTTCGAGCCATGGTGGAAGTGAAAATGAAGGCATGAGGAACACAAACATTGATGATATGCATCATAAGAGATCCTCTGCAAAGTCTGTCTGTATATGGCCGGGCGAGTTATGGTCATAGATCATGTTTGAAAACGTAACCAATGGCCTACAAAGTGAATAATGTGCTACCCTTGGCTAAGTTAGCTGAGAGTTTACAGTAATGTGCCACAAATATGGTCAATTGCAAGAATCCATATATTACTCGTAACAATTCACATCTCACCTTAACCTCAAATATAGATTTCCGGTACATAGATTATGGTAAAATTATGAATACAAATAAAGGACAAAAGGGAGGTGGGTAAAAGAATAAGAAAAAGAAGCTCATCTTCCTCTTAGTAGAGCCTTCTCTGCACTGTCCATCTCCTCCAAGATTCTAGCTCTTCTCTTTGCAGGAATCGGAGAAGTAGGCCCAAAACTAATGTAATGGCCGGAGACGGCGTTGAGGGCGGAATACATATCCCGGAAAGATGGCCGGCCTAGAAGGGATTTCTCTCTCCTATACTTAGCCACCCAGAAGTTAGAAGTGGCTCTGAGGTCTGCTACAGCATCAGCCACATCAGGGTCAGCTTTATCCTTAGTGAGCGTACTCCGAACCTTGCTGATCACCTCTTGCGTTTCCTTCACATATTCCTCGTCTGCAGCGGCTTGCGCAGCGGGTGAGATTAGAGTAGAAAGAATGGCAGCAGTGAGTGCAGTAATGGTGAGTTGTCTCCGGGTGAGGCTAGTGGCAGCGGAGGCAGAGGCGGACGTCGATGGGGCAACCGAGGTCGTGATGACGGTAATGAGCTTGGACTTGATTGGCGTTGGGGAAAGGGGTTTCAGCTTGGAAGTTGGGGTGATCAAAGTAGAAGCTGCCATGGTTTAGCTCTAGTGTAAGGAGGAAAGGAGAAGAGAGAGAAAGAAGATTATTAGTGGGGAAAAGGCATAAGAGTGAGTTCTTGTGCAACGTGGGCTTATCGTCTTATCTAAAAGATTTGATGTTTATGGATGAGAGAAGTTAACATGTTGGATTTTCAAGTGACATGGAAAACCAACCAAAAACTACGAAAATGATACAGGTGTAAGTTATAATGAAAAAACAGCCTCACCCAATAAACACATAACTCGGCTATTTCAACAAATTTTTATTATCTCCCTCAAGTGAGGTTCCTACTGTACGAAAAAAATTACAAAACTCATCCCTCCATAGATGTAATTCATGAAAAACTAGGTATTTTGGGTCGTTTCCCAAAAAAAAAAAAATTAGCATACATTTAAAATTGACTGTAGAGAGTGAGGGATAGCTCAGTTGGTAAGAGCTTTCCTCCCGGTTCCAGATGATCCTGGGATCGATTCTCATCCCCGCCCTAAGTGGCTCATCTGAACCAAAAAAAAAAAAAAAAAAAATTGACTGTAAAATAAAAGGGTTAAATTAAAAAAATTGATTCAAACCAAATATTTATGCCTACGACTAATCTTAAGGAGTAATTTTTATTCTAACACTATCAACTCAAAATCATACAAAATCTACAAGTTTCGATATGCAGAAAGGAAATTCCATCTCAATTAGACCACATTATGTAGACAATGCATATTTGACATGGAAAAATATGTGACCTGTCCCTTGCAGTAAATATATAAGTGACTAACCTGGGATAAGACCTGAGAGGAACTCTCTCACCAACACAAAAATAAAGGGAACCGAAAATGACCTACATAAGATTCAGGACAGCATTTCGCGTTCCCACCGAAAGGCAGTAAATACCAAAGTAACTAAATCTTCATCCAGCTGAACACATTAAATACAGGCTTTGCATTTCATACAGTATGTATCAAATCAGACTGAATGGTAAGATTGTGTTTACAATTTCACATATAAGCTTTTCCATCTCAATCTCATGTACTTCATTCTTGTGTATCATATTTACATCAGTTAATCCTAATCAACAAAGTGCAGGGTTTCTCCAGTACCTACATTAGTTATGCCATTAAAATGCCGCATCCTCAATATAGAAAGCAGGAAACTCTTTCTTCAGTTATCCAGTCAGATCAGACACAAACACGACTAATGCATCCCAGTAGGAGCCCCTTTACATCCACATCAGCGAAAACCTTCACATGCTCATATCTCCAGCCCTATGGAAATTCTCTTCCATACCCTGCATTTAAACAAGATCATCTTCATTAAAGGAAGAAAAACAGAATGAAGGCAAACAGGCCTTCGAGATGATTCAGCTACACGATAACTAAATCACAATTTGCTCAAGGCCTATGTTTAATAGTCATTATATCACACTTCGTATTTGCATAAGATTTCCAGCTAACAACAAAATTCACAACAATGAATAAGATTTTTACAGCAAAGAATATGCACCCTTCCATACGGTAAAGTGCACAGTTGTACAAAAATCCAACAATTGAGCACTACACACAACCAACCACTAAGAGAGAGAGAGACGGTGGAATTCTAATTATTCTATTTATGTCCAAGTGAACTAGTAAGATTTACATATTCTTTGTAAGAGAGTCCAATAAATTTGTCCATGAAAATAATAGCTGATAATGCAACGAAAGAATATAGGTTGGGGTAGGGAAAAACTGCTATAGCAAAGTACATGAAACAACTCTGAGTATCATAACTATATAACAAGCCATGAGCCAATGATAGAGTGAAATGACATGAAACAGGACCGAGCAAGCTTGGCTCTAAATAAAATGTTGAAGCATCAGCGAGAGAACTAGGTGACATCAGAGGTTCAGAATACAGAGCAGGAAAAGACAAGTGATCTGCAGGTGACACTTATAATTCAGTTTTGAAGACAATTCTGACCATCAAAAAAAAATATTAGAAGTTTGCAGCATTCAGCATAATTACAGTTAGCACTTGGAATATATCTTGGAGAAAAAAGGCAGCAAGACAATAAATAGTATTGGGAATTGACAATTAGAAGAATATTGATTCACGGATCATGACCCCCCACCCCCTTTGTCACTCTTAGGAAAAGGGGGCATGAAGAAAAGTGGTTACTAATTGTGGTTCAAAAAACTAATGGATACATCAATCCTTATCATGTGTCACTGAAACCAAAGTAACAGAACTGAAATCCAGAGTTCATTTGCTGCTACAGTAAGACACTCAAATTCTCAATGGGCTGCTAATCTTGACTACTGACAGAGAAACTAACTACCCAATGAAGGCTACATGAGATGTATGAACTACAGCGACGATGTCATCAACTTATCAGAACTAACTATCAACTGATTCATGATTTAAAGTGAACAAGTTAAGACAATGATTTACTAATTCCAATGCTACATATTCATTTGGATAGAGTTAGGAAGTAGAAAATCTAAAATACACAAATCACTGTAAAAGGAAACAGGAAACTACTGCTTAGCACTGAGTTAGGTAAAGCTTTTGAAAATCCCTTTTTGAAGCCTTAGCTTTCACTAACCTGAGATATAATGATGATTGTTGAACTCTCAGAAGAACTAGTATTTCTGAGAAACAGTGATGGTTAGTATATGGTTTCTCAAATGAGCAAAAATTCAGATCCTATGAACCACAGGTCTCATCCCAAAATTAAACAGTCTTTCCACAATTTAGTCCTGGCTAAAGCATCTTCAATTTATCCACCATCATCCTTAAAAATAGATGAAACGGCTATTTCACTAAATGCCACTGAGTACTTAAAAAATTCACCAAATGCCATCGAATTTTTCAAAATTTACCAAATGTCACTGAGGTTTAGTACAATATCACCAAATGCTATTTCCGTTAGTTGACCGTCAGTGACCGTTAGTTGACCCCACCACTAGCCACGTGTCACCTTTTGATTGGTCCGTTTTAAAAAAAAAATAATTAAACAAAAATTAAAAGAAAATTAAAAAAAAAAAAACCAAAAATATTTTAAAAAATTAAAAATAAAAATAAAGAAAATAAAAAACCACCAAATCCCCACCCACCACCCCTTTTACTACCCTCACTGGCAGGCCGCCCACCCCACCCTAAACCCCTCCCTGCCGCCGAAGACCGAAGCCCCTGCCGCCGGCGACCCTCACCAGCAAGCGTGCCGGCGGCCCCGCCACCATACACATTGCTTCTGCCTCCACTCACCACCAAACAACTCCCCTACCACACCTGCACCACCGCAAAAGCTACAGTAGCTGCAACCCCAACAACAGCGAAGTCAATTCGCTGCTTTTTCGCACATCCGACCTGGAGTCGCGTGTCTTCAAGCTTCCTCTCTGTTTCCATTATCTTGTTCTTCAAAGCTGGTATTACTTTTAATTTCGGAGGATTTTTCGTCAGCACTAGTTCTTTAATTAAGGGATTTTTATTTTAAAGCTCTGCTCGAGATCCCTAGTTCTCCGATTACGCTTTCCCTAATTTCATTTTTCCCTCTTTCAATTGATATGGCTTCACCTCAATACTCCGACAACTCAAGCCAGAATCCGTTTTTGTTTCAAACCCCAAAATTCCAATTTCCGTCTTCATCTAGTACTGGGCACGCCTGCCGGTGAGGGTCGCCGGCGGCAGGGGCTTCAGTCTTCGGCGGCAGGGAGGGGTTTAGGGTGCCTGCCGATGAGGGTGGAAGAAGGGGTGGTGGGTAGGGATTTGGTGGTTTTTTCTGTTTTTTTATTATTATTTTTTTTAATTTTTTTAAATATTTTTGGTTTTTTGTTTAATTTTTTTAAACGGACCAATCAGAAGGTGACACGTGTCAAGTGGTGGGTCAACTAACGGACGCTGACAGTCAATTAACGGAAATGGCATTTGGTGATATTGTACTAAACCTCAGTGGCATTTGGTGAATTTTTTAAGTACTCAGTGGCATTTGGTGAAATAGCCGTAGATGAAATGTTGGTTGTGTATAAGATGCTTTTTTATACCCAAAAAAATTCCACTATATGTATATCTATCATATGATCGGATTAGTCAAGACTTGGACAATGCCTACACCCACAAAATATCTTTCAGAATGCCAACAATGTCAACTCCATTATGCACTAAAAACAATCTGAAAAAGGGCTGGGTATGTTTCAAAAGCATAAAACAAGAAGTAATTCCAAGGTAGTAAAGCTGGATTTATGAACGCTGTTCTAATATTGACAAACTAAGAGTCAACTGCCATCTCTAAAGCAGGAACAGGCTAAGAACTTACCACAACTTTTGTTGTGTTGTGGCAATTAAACACAAGTGATTTCCAAAAAATTCTCCATGAACTTAACAAAAAGAGTGTGGAGATTAATTCTACACGATACCATAAAAATCAAATTGTATAACACAAAGTCATTTATACTAATTCCCATGCGAAAAAAGATTTGGAACAAGGACGTTCCAATGGATAGTTTAAAGTCATATCCATTAATCGCAAAGTAGACACAGAAAAGGCCAACAAGTACCATAAGCAAGCACACTCGATTCACAGAACATATGGCAGAAAACAACAAAGCAGGTGGCATCAGACCACACAAAATTTCAAATACAGTTCCTACCAATAGAGATATACGGTCAATGCATGTATTGTTTGGTAAATAACAGATGCAGATTAGAAGAGTTAGAACACTACACAGCCACTTCAAAATGAACATGTGTAAGCCATCATAAAAATTCCATAACAATGAAAAGGATCCAAGAGCACTGTAATAGATGCATCTGACTATATCAGTACATATATCCACAAAATCTGTTACGAGTTAATTACCTGGATAGCGAGTAGTTGAAGAACATCGAAAACAGCTCTGAAGGCGCTCAAAAACATCACATGGAACCACATCCAATCCAAACTCATGAGCAACACTTGTATAAGAACTACTCAACCCTCCTCCAATCGCAATACTCCTCCAAAAGCCAAAGACTTGCTGAACAAGGCAGACAGCCCAAAATTCCCACTCGGATGTGACACAAAGATTACGGAATGACAGAAAACCCATAGCAAGAGCAAGCCTATATACCCGACTACCAACCGCTACATTGCGCTTTACAACCCTAGGCCTTGCATTCCTATACACAAATATTGGCCTCAAGTGAAATCCTATCCTAGCCCACAATCCCGGGCCTGCTTTCCATTTCTTCCCTCCCCTGCTCACCATTACCATTAACCTCATCCTTCCTTTCATCTTCCTCTTCTCTCTTCCGAGTTCCCGCTGTTTTATCTTCTCCAAAAGCTTCCTTTTGTGGGCCCTTCTTTTGGCCTTCAAATGATTACACCAAATTATCTTCCCCAATGAAACCGTATAGGATAACAAGGTCGCGCTATCAGCCATGTACAAAAGATACAAAAGCTCTCTACATTGTTTTCTACCTAGATTTTCTGAACTCATCCATATATGCCGACCAAGTTCCTTCGCAATAACAACTTGGAAATCAGCATTGTACCCCATAAGCAATATGAATTCAGACACTGAAACAAAATCAAACAAAGAACTTCAAAAATAATTGGGAATAAATTTGACATAACAAAGTAATGAAGCAATCACAACAACGACAGCAAGACGATATATAACTTACTTTTTTCAGCAATTCTACTCTTTTCTTTATCCGACATTCTACCCATTTTTTCAGGCATCCTTCACCCAGAAAATTACACCAAAAAAATATAAAAAATTCAGGCGCCACAGTAAAAAAATTCAGGTAAAATAGAAGCCATAAGTAACAATTCTATACAAAATTGAGCAAAGATTACCTGAAAAACTCAATATTCTGAGCTAAATTGCAGGTCAGCAGTTCAAAAACAGGCACCTAAACTTACAATAAATCAAACCCTAGATGTGAATTCCGCCAGAATTGACCTAATTCGAACGCAAACGAACAACAAAAACAAGCCTAAATTCTTGAGAAAAGGATCGGAAGAAAGCAAAATTGAAAGAAAAAGAGGAACCCTAAGAATGGAAATTCTAGGGTTTGAGTAAGTAAATTGCAGGAAATGTAGCGCTAATTTTTCTGTTTGTTGAAGTTATAGAGTATCACTCTCACTCTAACATTTTCTCTCTCTTGTAGGAGTTTTCTCTCTAGGTGTGGGTGAATGTCTGTGAATCCCGCGCTGAGGAATCAGAGGCTATGAATGATGGGATTTCGACTTTGAGTTCAACTACACTTGCATGTGGAGATTAGAGTTTTGTTTTTTGGAGTTTAAGTTTTTGTATATGGGAATTGAGGGTGAGATTTGGAATTTAATCCCAACTCAAAAGAATTTTCTTTTGTTTGTTAGATGGGATTGAGAATAAATAAAGGAATGAAATTGAAAATAAATGGGGTGAATTTCCACTATTTTATTACCTAGGAAGGGTAGATAGTAAATGGATGAGAATGAAAATTGATAGAAAATGACATTTTTGCCATTAATGAACATGTTAGAAGAGAGAGGTTAGTAAGGGTAATTTTGTATTTTGTTATTTATTCTCTATTTATTCATATCCACTAACCAAACAAGGTATTGTCATCCTCTACCCTTTAAGGGGTCGTTTGATTGGATCATTTGGAATAGATTGGAATGAAGCTAGAATCCATTTCATCTAGTTTTTTGTTTGGTTGAGGTTTTTAGTAATGGAATCTCATATCCAGGGGTTTCAATTCCCTCCAATACCCATGGAAACCCATACCCACCCCTCTCCTAAAAATTCACAATCCATTCTATTAATAAAGGATATAATTCATTCTAACAATAAAACCAAACAACTTTGGACTAGTATGGGTTATAAAATCCATACCTCTCTAGTATGAGATTTCATACTAATCCATTCCAACTTGATGAACCAAACACCCTCTTATGCGTAGTCACCTATCCCCCTTATGAACAGTAGTCACGCATGGGAATGGATCTTGTGAATGCTGATGTGGCTATTTTTTTTTTCCTGCTAACTCTCACCCGTGAGTACCCATCTCTGAGTTCCCTCTTTCCCCTCTCCTCTAATTCCTTTCTCAGATTTCTCATCTCACTTTCTCTCTCTTACAAGAGCTTTCTCTAGCAATTACTCAGTGTTTTTTTTTTTTTTTTACCAATTATAATTATCTAGCACATTAAAACACTAAACTTAGTGTTTTTCTAAGGGTTTTGCTGCTGATCTATCAATGGATCTTATTTTTAATTTGTGTTTATGTGTAGTTTTGTTGATTTTGAGTAAATATTTATATTTTGTGTGTGCGTGTGTTTTTTTTTTGGATGGATTTGAGTTTTGTTTATTATGAAATTCCTGTTGTTTTATTTTGCTTTTAGCTGGAATTTTACTCATTTTTGCAGAATTTGAGACTTTATAGATTTGAAATGTGCTTGATTTTAAGCTGTTTATATATACTATTGCAAAAAAAAAAAATTTGATGTTTTGAATTTTTAAAAAATTTATAGAATCATTACTACCCTAACAACACTTAGGTGGTCGATTTGCATTTTTTAGAGCGTTTAGCTGAACTAGATTTAATTTTGGAATTGAGTATGACGTTGATGTTGGAAACTAAACTAATTTTGCTATTGCAGGAGCTAGCTTCGATGGTAGTACACGGCAATGGTGTGTTTTATGCTCTGTTTTGGGGGTAAAAATGGAGAACCTAAACAGGTGTGTTCACTAGGCGAAAAAGGCAAATTGGCACCAATTCAAACCCTCCTTTGGCACCGATTTTGAATTGCTGGGTATTTGAAGGATGCCAAATCTCTAAAGATTTGGCACTGGTTCAAAACCGGTGGCTATTAAGAGCTATGGCACCGGTTAACCAGTGCCAAAAACCCATGGCGCTTTTTTTTTTTTTTTTTTTCTTTTTGTTTCAGCACAATAGGCACCGGTTTGAAGCCTGAACTGGTGCCTTTAACTTTGTTTTTTTTTTCGGCTATAAATAATAATATTAATACTAAGACTAATAATAATTAATAATGAGAACCTGTAAATCCTGCATTCATTCTACAAATATTATATAACAATAATAATAATTATTATTATTATTATAATATTATAATTAATAATAATAATAATAATAATAATAATTTGTAAATTGAAATAATAACAATACATAGATACTAATTAATAATCCCAAACGCAATACTATTTACAAACAAAATTAATTTAAAAAGTGTCATAATTATAAACAATAGTAATCAATAATGTAGTTAACAAGTTCAAATATAAATGATATTTACATGTTAAATGTGATGAAGGACGCTAACATGTCTCGAACTTCATTAAGTTCTTTGCTCGTCAACGGACATCCCTTTTGTACCTTGCAAAACTTGGAATAAACAAAAAGTATGTTAAAATTAATTATTGTAGGTTATGCATGTAAAAATGCAATTTAAGTGTTTTAGGGTTCATTTTCATCCAAATTGGCCCAAGTAAGGCTTGTTTGACTACTAGGATGCCTATTTCCTACATTTCTTGTCAAATGAACTCATTCTTTCTCATAACATGTCATTAGTACTTTATTATAGGCGGCTAAGGCTTGAAATCACAAGAAATAAGCAATTTAAGTGTTTTAGGGTTCATTTTCATCCAAATTGGCCCAAGTAAGGCCTGTTTGACTACTAGGATGCCTATTTCCTACATTTCTTGTCAAATGAACTCATTCCTTCTCATAACATGTCATTAGTACTTTGTTATAGGCGGCTAAGGCTTGAAATCACAAGAAATAAGCAATTTAAGTGTTTTAGGGTTCATTTTCATCCAAATTGGCCCAAGTAAGGCCTGTTTGACTAATAGGATGCCTATTTCCTACATTTCTTGTCAAATGAACTCATTCTTTCTCATAACATGTCATTACTACTTAGTTATAGGCGCCTAGGGCTTGAAATCACATGAAATGAGCAATTCATGTGTTTTAAGGTTCATTTTCATTACTGTTTCCTACATTTCTTGTCAAATGAACTCATTCTTGTCAAATCACATGTTAAGAGCAAATAAACTAAGTCAATGGCATACCTCATCAAGCTGTAGTGTGTCTATACAACGACTCACTATATCAAACATGAATCTCATCACGTATAGGCCACAATCAACTCCGTTATCTTGTTGTGCGCACTAGCATTGGAACAAAGTACATGAATCAAACATGTATATATAGCAAATTAGTAACTTTTTACGCATTGTTTATTACGAAAATCACAAGATCATGTGGCATTACCATCGGTTATTTCCATGTGGGACCTTGAGGAGCTCGACAATTTATCTTCTTCATAACACTATAGAAAAGTAAAGTCAAATTTGATTAGTATGACTAATAAATGAGTTAGGTAATGATAATCAACACTAGGTAGCTTTATTTACTTTTGCAATATGGACTTCACGAGGAGCTTTTTTGGATGAGGCAATTGAGCTGAATCAAAAAGGAAGATTGTGTTACTGGAAACACAAATCACCAGCAGGGTCCAATGCAAACTACATAAATTCATAATAGACAAACAAATCAATTATTAGCCATGTACAGCATATAATCAGGGGAAAAAAATGAATTTGACATGATTAGACGTACTCCTCATAACATGGGGCCAATATGAACTTGTCTCCCGCACGCACTGATTCCTTGATACTCCGTTCAACATAGTACAACACGTCAGGGTGGTTGCCTAATATTCTAGTAGTGGAGATCTGCTCGGGGCATAACCACCCAACTTGACACGGAGAATCAATGTCCCGTAAGTGCTCCTATAGTGCTCTGCATGCATGATAATAGAATATTAATGGAAATATAAACGATAATCACCACTAATTTGAATAACATACTTTGAGCGGCAGTGAATTACCTCATGAATGTTTGAATGAGGGAAATGTTAAGCATTGATCCACTTAGAAATTCCTTCACGTCTTCTTTGCTGAGCCATGCAATTGCATCGTCATCATAGTGGAACAATGCCTTAGGTAGTGCAACTTGAACGGGAGGGTCACTAGGCAACATAGCAACACGGTTGTGTAGATAAGTTAAATCTTTAGACAGCGATTGAAGGACCGTGTCTGCAACAAGTGGAGTAGCTTGCATAGCTGAACCTCTCGAAGAGTTCTTCTTGGACGTTTTTTCACTCGCTGACCGTTGTTCACTCCTCTTCTTTGGCACCAATTGATCAATGCTTGTAGGCTGCTCCACCCTCCTTCTCTTTGAAATTTGGCTTTTCTTCGAAATCTGATAAAGCAAATCACGCAATTGGTTAGAAAATAAATCCATCCAACTCTTGGGAAGACAACCAGGCATAGAGTAAAGAGTGAACCCAAAATCTTACCTCGTTGATCAACCTTAACCAATCACATGGCCATTGCACGAAGCTACCTTTCGCTTCCCAGAGTGTAGTAATCTCATCCTCCTCTATGGGCACCGGTACTCGGATGTACTCGAACCCCGCAACCACATAATTGATCCCGACCGAGTAATGTTGTGGCCTAAGCGCTCGCGAATGGACCGTACCACTGGTCGGTTGTGCACTAGCATACGCAACCAACTGCAAAGGTCCACTATCTGATAGCCTCGGGTGTAGAAGTGCACAACGGGTCTCTTCCTGCAGTAATTTGGAAGAAGAAATTAACACTTTCAAAGCGATTATAAACAACGCCCACACCGAAAACAAAACCGAAAACAAAATCGAAAACAAAACCGATTTTATGATTATGCTAAGGTATCATAAGGATTTGTTTTTAAGTTGTTAATGATGTATTTTGGTTGAGTTTTAAGCATGTAACAACCTCTAATAAAGGAACCATAGCTGCTGTAAAAACAGCCTCTGTGCAGTGTGTTTTTGCTGTACTTTTGCCTTGCTTTTGGGTGAATTTGTTGTGCAATATGCTCACAGCAACACAGCAACAGCTCACAGCAGACACATCTCACAGCAAGAGCTCATTACAGACACAACAGTAGGCAGAAACAACAACACAGCAACAGCTCACAGCATAGAAACAATGCATAACACAGCAACAGCTCACAGCACAGAAACAGCAGTAACGAAGCTCACAGCAGGCACAGTACAACAGGCAGCAACACATCACACGGCAGGCAGCAACACACCTCAAAAACAGCAACACAACAACAGCTTACAGTAGAGAAACAACAGCTAAAAGGAATGGTGTCCTTCCAACAAGTGTATTATTCCGGTAAAGGGTTCAGAATTATTACAGAGCTAATTCTTCAGTAAGGTCAAGTGATCGGAATGCCTAGGTGGAGGCCGCTTCCGATCAGTAATATCAGGGTACAATTGATATTACAGCTTAATCTTAACTGAACCCTTCGGGTCGAACCCAATCGAATCTCCGATCCGAGACGTCGAATTAAACCAAAAGGATTTAATGAGTCGACAGAGTTTTACGAATACAGACGTCGGAAATCGAGCCTAGGGCGTCGATACAGAGCGTCGAAAATCACAAGCAACAAGTATGAGCGTAGCCGTAGCTAGGCTAGGCTAGCTCATGGCATGCCTAGGTGCACCATGTGTGTGCTAGGCGCACCATGGTGTACTAGGAACCATCGCAGCCTAGGCGCACCCTGGCAGCCCATCGCATGCTAGCGTGGGTGCCTAGGTGCACATGGCAGCTATCGCA